CTTGAGCTACTAATCGTGCTTTGTAAACAGGGGGTTCACGATCAGTTTTAATTTTGAAGACCCACTTCGAGCCTACAATATTCTTGCCTGGTTTCTTCTTAACAACTTCCCACGTTTCTTGTTTCTTCATCTGACTCAGTTCGGCTTCCATGGCAGCCTTCCATTTTTCTTTGTCCGGGCCATTTAGTGCTTCTTGAACTGTTTTAGGTTCAACCACATCAACAAAACCTAGGCTAACCTTATTACAGCAAGGTAGAGTACAGTTTGCTTTGTGCTTCTTAACCCTAGTAGATCTTCTGAGTGGTGCTTGAACTTGTTCTTCTTCAGATGATGATGATTGATTTTCTTCCTGATCTTCATCTTCTGAGTGTAGATTTATTGTTTCTTTATGTTCACTATTTTCTTCATCTTCTGTGTTGTTTTCTTCACTGTCAACTTCTGTATTTCCATTCTCCTCTCCAGATTCTTCCCCATCTTCCTCATCACTTGTCGTCTGCTGTTCTGATTCTGATGTTTTGGTGTCAGAGTCACTGCCACTGTGAGCGTCACTTTCGCTTCCAGAGGGCTCAGGGTCACTCTCACTTTCGTTGTCTGCTGATGATTTTTCTTCCTCACATTCAGATTCAGATTCGTCAGAGGTTGAGAAGTAGTTTTCATACTGCTCAGTTTGTTTTGGTTTCTGCTTCTGCTTGAATGGAAATATCTTCTCAAAGAATTTGACATCTCGGCTGATGATGGCTTGGTTTCTTGACATGCTCCAAAGCCTATATCCCTTGACGCCGTCCGGATAGCCAAGGAAGACACACTTTTCTCCCTTGTCATCAAATTTCCCTGCATCATCTACATGAGCATAGGCTAAACAGCCAAACACTTTGATGTTTTCATAATCTTCTTTGGTTAACTTTCTGTCAAGCCATAATTCCAAGGGAATTTTGCCTCCAATGGCAGCTGATGGACTTCTGTTTCTCACATAACATGCGGCATTTAGTGCTTCTCCCCAAAATTCTTTTGGCATACCAGTTGTTCTAACATAGATCTCACTGTTGACATCAATGTCTGATTTTGTCTTTCAGCTTTACCATTCTGCTGTGGATTCTTCTTGACACTTTTGCGGTGTAAGACCCCACCAGCTTCTAAGTGGGCCTTAAATTCAGAATTTACATATTCTGTCCCATTGTCAGTTTGAATCTCTTTTATCTTCTTGTCATGGAGGTTTTCTACTCTTGCTTGATACTTCTTGAATTCACCCAAAGTGTCACTCTTTTTCTTCATGGGTATTGCAGTGACATGATTTAAATATCCATCAATGAATGTTGCTATGTATTCAGCACCACCCTTTGATGCTGGATTCAATTTACCCATCAGATCGGAGTGGATCCTCTCCAAGGGTTGCTTCGGTTTGCAGGGATGATTCTTCGGATAAGACTCCTTCTTGTTCTACGTGGTGCAGCAAGTCTCACAGTGTTCAAGAGAGTCAGGTTTAGACTTCATTGTAACGGGTAACTTCTTCAATGCTTTTTCATGCAAATGCCCCATTTTGTAGTGCCATGTCTCTATTGTGGTTCTTGCTAATGTCTTCCTTATTTCTTCATTGTCTTCTTCCCCAACACCATCTAGGGTCAGCCAGGTAAGCTTACCCATTTTGAATGCAGTAAACAGCACTTCATCATCTATAAAGGCAGTTGATGTGTCCTTCTTCGAGTGGAATTCAACTCCTTTATTTTCCAGCTCAGCTTGTGAGACAATGTTGTCAGATAAGTTGGGAATATAGAAGGCTTTCTTCAATACTATAGTATACCCACCACACTTCTCTGACAGCCTGAGTCTTGCAGTGCCAATACCTTCAATTTGGATAGCAGACCCGTCTCCTTGACTCACTTCCCCTGATGCTGGTGAGATGTTGTCGAAGAGCTCCTTGTCCCTCAACATGTGGTCCGTGGCCCCATTGTCAAGTAACAGAAACTTCTTCTTGCTGTTTTCTTTCTTCTTGCTTAAGCGAAATACTTTGACTTTTTCTAGTGAAAGTTTTGCACATTTCTTCTTTTCTTCTTTCTTGGGTTTCTCTTCTTTCTTCTCTTCTTCTGATTTCTTGGACTCCTCATAATTTGGACAGTCACGAGCCATATGGTCAGGTTTCCCACAGGTGTAGCAGATAAATCTCTTCGGTTTATCCTCTTCATTCTTCCTTTCTTCAACTGGTTTCTTCGGAATGATTTTCTTCTTTGCTTGTGGTTTCTCTGACTCGGGTTTCTTCTCTTTCTTCGCGGCTTCCTTCTTCAACATGAGGGCTCGAACATTTTCTTCCGTCTCTCTCTCACCATCTTGCTTTTGACGAGTGATCTCTTGCTTTATCTGAGCCTTTACATAAGGTAATGCTATCTTAGTCTTATCAACAGTTCTTACCATTAAGCTAAACTTACTTGGCAAGTTAGCAAGGGCAATCGCGCCAAGAATCCTGTCTGAGAAATCCATTTCTAAGTGGTGTTTGCACTTTCTACTTAGTTCAATGATCTTGGTGATGTAGTCCCCGGCGTCGTCACACTTGAGTTCCACGTTCAGAAGATCTCTTAAAAATGAAAGTTCATAAAAGAAATCAAGGTTGCAATTTACCTCCTGCAGTCTGTCCCAGGCTTCTTTAGCAGTCTCGAGGTACTCTATCTCGTGAAGCGCTTCCTTGTTCACGAGTTCAGCAATGGTGCAGTGAGCGCTATTGTTCATGTCATTTCTTCTACCTTCTTCTTTTCTGGAGATTTCGACTGGAACCTTGTTTCCTTCGTCGTCGTAGATGAAAACTCCAAAAGCGTTCTTCTTGTACTCGGTAGGCCATTGTAATAACGTCAGGTTATTATCTTCTTAGAGTTCATTGATGTTCTTGGATTTGTATGAATAAATTAGAACACATTCTTTCATGGCTGAACTCCTTTCTCAAGATGCTTTATTTCCGGGACGGAAGTTGGTACAAGGTTATACACAGTTGAGGCTATTCGCACTCACGTCTTATTCACACTCTACCACACTCTTCCCCCCTAACAAAAACGCACAGCATTTGAAACAAACAAAATTTCACATTTTGTAATACACATGAGCATTGTAAAAAAAACTTATCCTAGACAGAACATACATATAACTGTGTAAGTCTTTATTTTTGGTTTAACAAAGAGATATAAAAATATAAAACTAAACAAGTAATAGGATAATGAGTAACAAACTCTAGGATAGTAAAAAAAATTTTTGGACACAAGAATAATACTTAATTGGTAGTCAGGACGGTTCCAACCTATCAAAATTATTTGGCACAAAGTACAAATGGCACATTTTGATGATACTTAGGAATGACTACAAAATTATTCTTTGGAGTACACAAATACAAAAAAACTTAATCTAACAGTCGTTTTGGACGAATGATTTGTCTTCCCTTCCTGGAGAAGACCGGAGCGTCCTCCACTACTGGAGCTTGTGGTTGTTTAACCACCTTTGGGGTATTCTTGACTTCTGGGGCTGGACGGACTGGAGTCTTGGGAACATCTACGACTGGAGTTCTTGGAGTATCTTGAATGACTGGTGTTTTCTTTGGAGTCTCAGGAACAATGGGCTCCACTACCGGTGATGCAGGTGTACTGGGGGCAGGCTGCTCCAAAATCACAACTGGTGGAATGACTGGAGGCATTCCCTCCGGAATTTGAGGGTTTGTCGGCTGTATTCCAGCTAAAGGATCTTCTTCAATGCAATTTGCCCCTGGAGAGCGGGGTCGCAGGTGAGATGAAGACACCTGACGAACTCGGTCCTTTACTTGCACATTGTAGGACACACTTGACTCTACAGACTCTATCTGTCCGGGCACCCACTTAATTATGCCACGGCGAATACATCTAACCCACACTAAGTCTCCTGGACCAAAAGATGAAATCTTCTGGCTCTGCTCTGCCTTACGTTTCTCTTGCTGTTCTTTAACCCTGATGGAGCTGGGGACGTGGAGGGATAGAGAGCTATTATCCATAGGGAGTACTTAAGCATCCCTCAATATCCGTACGGTATCCATGGGGCCGTTTCGATGTCCAACGCGAGTCCCTATGGTATCCTTGACGTCACTGATGTCTCAAACGCATCCATGTGGATGCTTCTGTTGTAATTAATTCATTGTTTACACTATTTATTAATTACTAGTCAATCCTAACGACACATTCAAATTGACCCTCCATGTTCACTGCCTCCTTGT